ACTGCATAATGGTAATCAGAGTAAACTAAATGATGTAGTTACGAGCTGTCAGTGTTACCATTTCATGCTGGCTGAAGGAGAAATACTTTAAATTTCAATTTGATAACTTGCAGTGTTAATGTACATTTGCTAGTTTTCTATCTTGAATATGCAGCACTGCATTTAACTGCTTAATATTGTTTTGGTAATAAAAGTAACTATTGTGACTGTTTTCTTATCCCTGTCTTTTTTCTTCCATTTCATGGAAAAATAAAATTAACTTATGTTTTATTCTGTATTTTTTATATTTTGAATGTTACATATCATACTTCTGCTTGTTCCTCTACTCTTTTCCCGTTCTTTTTCTAGATATATTATATTATGTTCTTCATTTCGAGAAAAACGATGAGGACATAAATATACCTGTATTGTTACTCTATATATTCATATTATAGTCTCTATCTTTAGTTTTATATATGCTTGTCATAGTTGATTCAACTAAAAGATTGGATTGAATTTATGCAACTATTTGATTCTTGATATTCATACTTTTGTTTAGACTATGCATCCCGAATAATTGTCATATAATGTTTAGAATCCATTTAAATATAAACAAGTAAGAAATGATACTTCATGCATTAATATTGTCCTTTGAAAGTATTTGCTAATTTTCCCAGTAGTGATGGTGATAACAAAGATTGGTGGTGTAGTGGTACTGGTACTCTGATGCTAGTTGCAGTAAGAGCATTCATGTTTACTCCATCATGCTTGGAAATTAATCTAGCTCAGTAAGAGTACCAACAAAGTAGGTGAAAAATTACCTCGTTAAGTTCTGTATTAAACAGTAAGGCTTCATATCTTACCATCCCCCTTCATGGTTTATCTTTATTGGATTCCCATCACCTTCTCTTGGGGATTTTGGTAGAAATCAGTCAATAGAATAAATCTTTTTATCCAAATTGTACTTTCAATCTCATAAAACTGGCAATCAGAAAATATAATGCTTTATTTTCAGTTATTGGCACTGTAGCACTACAGGTATTTATCTTGAAAAAACTTTGTGGCATATATATTGGGCCTCGTTCTATCTCAGGTTATTATCTTTTCTTTCCATCAATACCATTTGTATACCACTCTCACCTCTATCCTTGTTCAAGTCTACTACTTCAAAGTTTAGTCATTAGTCCCACTCTTTTCCACAACATTAATTTACCTCTTTCTGTTTTCATTAATTCCCACACAGCTACTACAACGTGTAAAATATAACAAAATAATTAAAACGTTGGGTATACAAATACAAATGATGGAATTGTTTGTGTACATAAACGTACTTGTTTGTTAAATTAGAGAACAACGATTTATGATGGTTAGTTTTAAACAAATTATATTTTATGTGTGAGATTGAAGAACATGTGCTGTGGGTTTTGCAACTTTTAAGAAGTATTTTACTGTTTAAAATCTAAAATAATTGGATAGTCATATTTAACATGAAGGTAAAATGAAAATATTATCTATATATATTTAGCATTAAATAAATGAAATAATATAATTTTAAAAAAGTCTCTCTACACTATTTTTACTAAACACATTTTATTTTATTTACCGAAATCTCTAACATATTTCTACTTGATAATTTTTTTTATGTAAAAAATATCATAAAATTCCTTCAAATAAAAAAAATATCGAAATCACTTGTAGATTAAAGATATAATAATATTATATTATAGGTTAAGTACACATTTTATCTTATAAATCAATCATGTAGATATTTTAATGATGTAAAACAAATTGCAGGTGGAATGATTCATCTATTATTGGAAAGATATTGAATCACTCGTCTTTAGTGTTTCAATGCGAAAAGGAAAGGTGAAAAATCCTATACATTTCTGATACTGCTTCCTCATCTTATTTCTACTCCTGTATCTTTTCACTGAATCAAATAAAGTAAAGAGGTTGGTTATTCTTAATGGGTGTCGTGAGATCAACTAACCGGGTTCAGAAACCAGCCAAAATGGCTTAATATGGAACTGCTGCAATACTAAAATTTGATGGTTGGTTATCATTAATTAGCCAATGTATGATTGATGAATGGTACTATGTGATGAGGAAAGTATGTTACAAGTAGGTAAAGACAATAAAGAAAATTTTATCTTTATTTACTCTTCTTACTTCATTCTTCTAATCAATCTTCATTGTATTGGTTTATTGAATGAAGCTGTTCTGGAAGCTTGTGTTCAGAATTTATGAAGGTTGTTGAAAATGAGAAATTGGGGTAAGTTTCGAAATGTAATGCTATGTGTAGGACTCTAGGGTACAGCGTCAGAAATTAACCAGCTTGTTTATTCATTTACTTCGCAACTCCAAAGGAAATCCTCCATTCAGTTTCAAACTTCATCGATTATTATAACCATGTGTTTTCTTGCACAAGATTTTTTATGTTGCCATATGTATAGCATGTCCTGGTTCTTGTCTTGCTTGATTGGTGCAACTGTTAACTGTCACAATGTGAATGATGTTACATTTCCTAGATTGATGGGAAAATTTGAATGATCGAAATGAAAATACATTATGTAGTTAAACAAACATCATTATAATTCACATTACAATAACTACATATATGTTTGGCAGCTCCATTTAATGTTAAAGCTGAACAAGTACAGAACACCATAGTACGTGGATTTGATGCCTATATATGGTAATAATATCTAGGATTGAATGCCACTTTTTGAATATACAAAAGCTTTTGGCGGGAGAGAGTCTTTACAAAAAACTTGATAAACTTCAGCCAGACAATCTCTGGTGTGAACTTATGTGCATGATTACACAAAATTTAGAAGGAGAAACGAGGAAAATAGATATAGAAGAGGTCGTTGTCCAAACCCCCCAGTTTTTTCGCTGTTAATAAAATCTTGACTATGATAGTATAGAAACTTTGTAGATATGGTCCAGTACGTAGGTCTGTTTCATTTGACAATTTTGGCCCGGAAAGTCAGCAAATACTACGCGACCTCACATTACTGTGCATGATGCCAGTGACGTGGGGAATTTTACAAGTGATGCACAAAAATCCCTATAGATCAAAAGATTCTACTACCATAGCGGCAAGAAACTTTGGTCGGCAGTTCTCACTCAGTTACTTTTCAACTTCCCTCTTTTCTTACACAATTTGAGAGATACCACCATACGTTTGTTGAATCCAATGTCTTAACACCATGTCCAAAGTATCCCTACTTTACAATTACTTATCAAATCTGTGTATCATGATGGATAACCATTATTACAAAACAGGAGTTTACATTAGCAAAACATGTTTTTTTGACCATGCATCCTACTTTAACTCAATAGAAATATTATTATGAGTGTTAAAGTTGTCTTCAAATATTTAATATTTTAACTTTTCATAAATAGAGTTCTATGAAAATTAATTAGCATATATACTTTTGGATATTAGTAAATGTTGATGGGAAAAGTAAAATCATGTTGATATAAAGAAAAGCTGAGACTTGTAATAATAGAGTATTATTAATTAATGTTTCTCTTATAACATAATATTTGTGACCATTTTGCATTCACCATAGTGTGATATAGTAGATGGATATATAACTTTTTCTTTTAATTGTGTAATTTAGAGTTTAAATGCTAAATATAGTACATAAAAGGGAGAATCTTTTAATTTGATTGGATGTTAGCACCTCAAGATACCCTTGTACGATCAATTTATAAGGTGTAGTATACCTCATTTATCAAATATATCTTTAAGAGGGATATTAAATATTCATGAAGGATAAGAATTGATTTGAGACAACCATTTTAAAAACAAATGAATGCGGTCCAGCACCACTTGAGGGGAGAATGGGATCCATTAATGCGTAAGAAATTGATGGGATTTCAAGGTTTTGGCCTATAATATTCCCATATCTAATTACGCAAAACATTTTGTTAGTAAGTTAATACATGTATATATTACTACGAATAGGATGATCATAGTTGAAGGTTTGAAGGCAAGAAATATTTAAAAATCTTCAACAGCGTGGGCATTATTGACAAGAATCTTATTCTGAATGCAGGGGTTGCGTTATGTGAGCTTGCGGGGGAATCATATAAGAATATTTTGTGCCTTCACCCCTTCACCTACTTGACCAACACCAAGTTTTTCCTTTTGTGCCTTGTTCGCTTCACTAACTCCACCCACGCTAAGTTTTATAATTCAAATATTCTTATCATGTCGAATATTATCATGCATCAAGGACAAATTATAGGGAAGATATCAACAGACATAGATAGATTTTAATTAATTTTTGGAGGACTAAAGGGGCTATCAATCATTAGAACTAACATGCATTTTAGTAAACTATTAAAAGAAATAAAGGTTTTACTTTTGGTACAATAATTAAAATCTACTTTTATTCCTTGAACATATATATATATATACTCGAAGATGTTCAACTATCGATTTTCCTTATCACTTTCACCAAGAAGAATAATCTTGTCCTCCTTAACGTGAAAGGAAGAATTTCATAAATGGGGCATTGAGTTCTATGGAAAGAAGGATGCGAATCAAATCCATGTGCTGATGCTTCAAAAACTTAGGCACTACCATTGTTCTGAGGCTTGTATGCGTACCCATACATAGGGCATCGCTTATTTTTTCATAAAGATTGTGATTAGATAATAGAGAACTTCTTCCCTGTACTTTCTTTGGATGCCCCTTTTGTATGTATTCTTTGGATTATTGTTAGCATACTTTGGATCGTATTTTTGTCTCAAAAAATCATTTCCCTTTCCATAATTCTAAGCAACAGTCAACGTTATTCGGGATGGAGCATGAAATGAATGATAAACAGTTGTCTCTTATTAGTAAATTTATGAGCCCTTACACAAAACAAACTCCCATATACAAAGATCAGCACACCAGAAAAAGATAACATAAAAGTTGTTCGGTGCCTATGGCTTCACAATTTATATCTTACAAAAAGTTTTTGAGCAACTTCAAACCTAACTAACTAGGCAGTTTCACTGCCTCAGGGGGTCCCCGGTGCGGGAGGACCAGCCTCCATGCCACCCTCCACACTGAAATCAATGACAGTGGGTGTGACAACCATAGCTTCTTCAACATTGCTCCTGTTAGAGGCCACCCCTTCAGATTTTGCCTTCTTTCCCTTCTTTGAGCCCTTTGTCTCGAATATGCGGCACACAGCCATAGCTGACATCTGCATTAGAGTTCAAAGTTCAGTCTTTTGATACTCATAAACAAAACCCAGAAACTAAATATGTAAGCATTTAAATGTGGTCAGTTTTTTTGTAAGACTCACCCCATTTTGGTGTGAAAAAGGAAGAGACGGTAAGACAATATTTTTTTATTAGTGGTCATAAATGTTCACCTCATTTTGGGGTAAAAAGATGAAACAAAGAGGGGAAAAGCAGATAGAGAGAGAAATTAATAAATAAATAACGGAACAAAAAGGAAAAAAAAATAAAGCTAAATGAAAAGAAAGAAGTGAGCGTATGTAACAATGGTGGTGGAGAGATACTGTTGTATTGTTTACCATTGATGGATGTGACTTTAGGGCAAGACGAAACTCATGCATCACCCAGTTGGTTTTGGCAAGAGAGTTGCCCCTGGCTTTCCAGAAAACCAGAATGTTCCTCTTTGCTATGAATTGTTCGCCAGGAAACTCAACCTCTTCATCTTTCTCCACTGCTCTCCATTCGCCTTTCCCAGCATCTCTCTTGTCAGAGTTTTCAAACACATGGGTCCTGACATCATAGAAGAAAAACCTCTGCCAATTCATGTACTTCCCACCTACAAAAAACAACAAAACAAAAACGATTCGGAAAACAAATAAACTCAAAATACCAAAACCACCATTCTGATCCCAGTGTTAGTTCAGTCATGGGGCATACAAAAATTGGATCTTTTTCAGACAAGACACATTGTCCACTGACATAAGAATCACAACAATCCAACCGTGTCACTCAGTTAACAACACATGCAAAACTTGTGAAAACACCTGAATTGAATTTCTGCAAAGCAAATCTTCAAAGAGAGAGATGGAAAGTTTTATTTTTGTGACAAAATTTCATACTGAAATCAATAGGTATATATATCTTTGGGGTCCATCAGAAAACCAAAAATTCTTTTATTAAAAAGGGAAAAAAAAAAAACAAAGAATGAATGGAAAAGGAGGATTTGTTTTGTGTTTGTGTTTTAGACCAACCTCCTGGAAGCTCCCAAGGCTCAGTCTGGTGAACATCACAGTCTTGGATGAGGTCATTAGGAAGTGGCTGTGCCATGATCCTCTTCCTGAGGTAGTAACCAGCAAGAATTTCATCAGTGGGGTCGAACCTGTACCCAACCGGGAGCCTAAAGGTCTTACCTTCCACTGGGTTTAACACTTCCATGAGTGTCACCACAGCAAAGACCTTTTGTCTTTGGAGAGATGAAGGAACTTGTCTTGAAAGAAATCAATTTATAGATGTAAAGACATGCAGTGTGGTGGATGTGTTTGACTAAGAAGGAGACACCAGATGTGGAAAGAGAAAAAATATATATATGAAACCATCCATGGCTACAAATCCTAGCTTCTATTTGACTTTTGAAAGGAATTGACCATTTTTCTAAGTTTTTTTTTCAAGATTAATTATGACAGGATTGGTTAATATTAAATAGGTATAATTGAGGAAATTAAATTAGTTTTTTTGAAATTGAGTATTAATAATTTTTTAGAAAGCACTCTGGAAAATTGACAACCAATGTTGTACTGTACTGTAGGTGACGTGAGTGAATGAGTAACTTGTTTGCTTTCAGTCAATAACCATGGACCCGTTGTTTCCCGTTACAGCGTTTCAGCATGTGTCACACGTTTTCACAATGGCAGTTTTTTTTTTTTTTTTGTTAATCAATGCCATTTTATGAGTTATACTCTGCTGGCTATGACCAGGACCAGAGATAAAACTGAAATCTCACTCTCATGAAAAAGTATTTCTTTTTCTTCGTAAATAACTAAACCGCGTGAGGTTTCGTGAATTTTTTCTCAAAGGCAAAATATTTATTTTCCCAATTATACTTATTTTAAACTATGCTCGAAATTCAGTTTTAGGTGGCTAAATTCTTACCAATTTATTTTTGCTTAAAAATCTTTGTTTTTTTTAATGCAAATTAGTATTGAAATAATAATATATTAACATTTTTATTTATAATATATTAATATATTATCATTCATTTGTACATTAATTTTATTAATTATTATTATTATTATTCAAATAATTTATTTTAAAAAAATTTAAATAATTTTTTCTTTTCTCTATAATTTATTTCTAATGAAAAATGATTTGACTATTAATACAAAGTCTATTTTTATAGTATATTTTTAACATATTAATTTAATAAAAATATTTGTAAAATTATCTTAAATGTAAACTTCAACTTAAAATATTAATTCAGATATCACTCAAACACTTAATAAGAACATGTTGAAATAACTAATCAATAAATAAAAATTAAATACATAAATAATAATTATTGATTTTTTTAAATTAGAGGAGTAATTATTTATTATGATAAGATATTTTTAAATTAATTATTTACATATTATAATAAATAATTACTCAGCTAATTAAAAAAATCAAATATTTATAAGTTAAATATATTTTTTATTTAATAATTATATCTAGTTATAATAATATTGAGTTATGATAATTAATTAGATTAGTAATTTTAAAAAATATTTATTAAAAAAATACTTTAAATAAATATTATATTTTTTTCTTAGTGATTATAGTATAACAATAATAAAATTTGTAACATCTCAAATTTATCACATAATATTTTTTTACAAATATAACATATTAATATATTCAATTATAGTATTTTTAAATTATTTAAATATGTTTCATTTTTTAAAAATAAAAAAATACTTATGTTATCAAAATTTAATCTATTATTTTTAATTGAATAATAAAATGGAGTGAGAAAAGAATAAGAGAGAGAAAAAAAGAAAAACAAGAAATAAACAGAGGGACAGAATAACATTTTTATGATATGGCACAAATTTATTTTTTCTTATTGATACGGTAAGTCGGGTAAATAAACTCAAAAAGATTCTATTTCAGTAATTTTTGTTTTAAAATATATTATTTATGATATTAATTTATAAAATAACTTTAAATGAATTATTTACATTATCAATAAATAAAATTATTTATTGTTATCATAATTTTAAATAATTAGTTAATATTTTTAGTTTTAATATTATTTTTTTAATAATTATTTTAATATATTTTTATTAATTTTTAATATAGTAGTTTCATTTGGAGAGTAAGAAAGAAACAAGAGAAGTAAGATAGAAAAAAAAAACGAAGAAAGAGAAAAAAATAAAAAAAAATTTAAAAAAAGAAAAAAGAAAAATTACAAATAAAAAGTTCAACGATATTCAAGTAAATAAATTCGTACAATTCTATTTGAATAATTAAAAAAATATATATTAATCTTTAAATTCATTAACAAAATATAACCTAAAAAATAACTTAATGGTTACAAATATATAAGTGGTATAAATGATAATAAAAATTAATAAAGTCAATCAACATCTGAATCAACATTTTATATTTTTGTCATTATCATAGTTATAGCATTAAATGTGACATTGAATGATTTTATCATATTAGTTATCTTAGTCATAAAGAAATGTATGAGAATATAAAAAAAATAACAATAATATAAAAAATATATTATAAAGATATCATGTATAATTGATTAAGATATTTATAGTTTTAATCTGATTTTACATACATTCAATTGAAAATGACAATGCATATCCTAAACTATACGAAACTAATTCGTTCAATCATACAAAATATTTTATAATTGGTTTGGATTTATTCATGAATGAAGTGAGAATTGAACTAAACCAAAATTTCCAATTTAAAAAAAAAAGTTTTGATTGATTTTATTTTTTTTGAATTTTTTTTATTAGTTAGTTTTGAACACCTTATTTTTAATAGTTTTTAATTTAATATTAAGTGACTTTATTTTTATATAATTGCATATATAATATTATCCGAAGATCACGAGATTAAATTCTGAAAGCATTTTCACTTATTGAATACGTGTATGTATCTTAATTAATTTTTTGCTTAAAATTTAAAATTTAATAACTATTTGATAAATGATACTAATTTATTATGGCTATTTTTTCCCACAAATATGCCTTTCGCATTTATTTATTATATTTTTTAATCATTATAAAAAAAGATTTTTTTTTGCCTTTTATTCTCGCTACCTCCCTTCATATTTATTTACTATTTTATGTTTTGTCTTGTATAGAATAAAATAATCATATCTAATTGTTTGAATACTAAAATACGTGAAATAAAAAATAATTATGATAATTTAATAATAAATTTATATTTTAAGACTTATTATTTATTATTCTATATTATTTATTAAAATAAAAAATATTGATAAAAATTATTATTTTAAGTATATTTTTCTTATTACGTTCTAATATTCATTTCTTTTTAGAATGAACATTAATATTAACAATAATTATAAAAAACATATATTTTGTTAATAATATAATAATAACTCATATACTATTTTAAGTTTTTTTTCTTTAGCATTATGAGAAGTTCGTGTTGTTAATATATATATATATATATATATATATATATATATATATATATATATATATATATATATATAATTAAAATGTATTTTATTCTCTTAAAATTTAAAGATATTTGTTGAAATGAATATCGTTATTACATAATAATTATATTATATGTTATTAGCTTAAACTAGCGCACCAAATTAATAAAGGGAATATAGTTTTCTAATTTCTAATAATTTAACTTAATAATAAAATTCTAAAATTGTTTAATATTATGTCTTATTTTATTTTTATATATATATAATATCACAATATTTGTGATATTTGATTAATTCATACACATTACAATAAATATGAAATATATTTAAATTATGATTGATATTTGACAAAGATATAACCTCGGAGTAACAGTTAGAATTGATTTTAGATAATGTCCACCAAACGAAAAAATAAAAATAAAATAAATAAATAAATAAATAAATATATATATATATATATATATATATATATATATATATATATATATATATAATGTAGATGAAGATAAAAAAAATAAGATGATATCATAATTTATAAGTAAAAGAAGATTTGTCATTTTGAATTTCAATTCAATATATAATAATTAAAAGGTTTTTATATAGGACTAAAATTTAAAATATAATTATTTCAATTATGAAAAAAAAATACACAAATAATCTTTTATATTAAGAATGTAAGACTCCATATCCATTCTTAATGAAAGTCATCTAAATCTAATAGAATCAAATATTTAAAATATCTCCAATTATAGAATTATAGAAAACATACAACACCAAAAAATTAAAATCCAAAAATTATAAAATTATAAATCTATTATTAGTGAGATAAAACTAAAATCTCACTCTCATTAATTAAAAAATATTTCTTTTTCTTCATAAATAACTATACCACTTGAGGTTTCGTGAATTTATTGAAAATTGTCACAAAGACAAAATATTTATTTTCCGAATTATACTTATTGTAAACTATGCTCGAAATCCAGGTTTAGGTGGCCGAATTCTTACTCATTTATTTTTGTTTAAATTTTTTTTTTAATGCAAATTAGTATTGAAATAATAATATATTAAAAATTTTATTCAAAAAATATTAATATATTATCATTCATTGGTACATTAGTTTTATTAATTATTAGTATTATTTATATGATTCAAATATTTTATTTAATAAAATATAAGAAATTAATTTTTTTCTTTTCTCTATAATTTATTTCTAATAAAAAACTATTTGGTACGGATCATTTATTAATTGTAAATTCTTTTTATTTAAACAGATGTTTTACAATTAATACTAAGTCCACTTTTATACTATATTTTTGTGGATTAATTTAATAAAAATATTTGTAAAATTGTCTTAAATGTAAACTTGAACTTAAAAAGTATTAATTTAGACATCACTCAAACACTTGATAAGAACCCGTTGAAATAACTAATCAATAGATGAAATTAAATACATAAATGTAAATTACAAGAATTGTAAATTATTGAAAACGTAAATTGCAAAAAAAAAAGACATAAATTATCAATAATAGAAGAGAAATTTATAAAAAAAATCAGAGAAACCTATTGAAATAATATTTTTTTTAAATATAAGTGTTTTAATATAATTCGTAATTACCCTTCTTTTGACTTATTTAACTTTATTTATATTTATTATTCATTGTAACTGTTAAACAAATATATATATATATATATATATATATATATATATATATAATTTTTTTTATTTTCCAACTAACCGTTTTTTATTCTTGTT